TGTCACGTGGTCTAGAACAAGCCCCTCTCAACAGGTGGTTCCCTGACAGTGTTTGAGGGAGGCTGGGAGGCAAAGACCTCGCATAGTAACACTAAGATGTCATTTGTCTTTTTCACTGTGTGGACATTTGCCCCAATGGTGTAAAAGCAACGGAGGGTAAGACTCCAGTAGTAATACCTGATGGGGCATCCCAATATTTCCTCAATTAAAAATAAACAAATAAAATTAAATTAAAAATAAACAAAAGGGAGGTAAAGGATAAAAGACAATGTTATAAACAAAACAACTTGGAGTTCTAGCTCACACGGAGGTCACTGCACACTTAACCAGAGGTTAGTTCATTTTTCACTGTCACACACTTGCAAGGAAGAATAGACAGTTTTGTGAAAAATGTTCTTGATGGAGCAGAAAAATGATTAGTTTTATTAAATTTGATGATTCACGAGTCTGTGTCTTTTTCATCTGCTGGGCAACAAAACACAAAGCCCCTCCCCTCTCCCCCCGCACTACCCCACCCTGAAAGTGGCTGTTATATCCCAGCCTTAGCTGGTTGTTTCCAGAAAAAGCACTTGGGTTGTTGGTGGTGATCTGAACTCGCTGTTCCCTGCCCCCTCCATGGGACACCATTTTCACTTAACAAAAAGACTGACAGATAAACTAGAGTTATTCAGATGTGGGCATTTGGGAAAGAATGTTCTTGAAGTTTGTACTTCAAGAAAAACAACTGGCGTCATTTGCTGCCAGTGACAACAGTGGAGCTTTCTAGCAAAGACCGGACTTTTGGAAAACCTGAATCAGCCACCACCATTTAATAGATAGTTACACTGTCTGATGAGATTGGTAGTGATATTATAGAGCAAAAGATTATGATTACTTTCCAATATTGTAAAGTAAGCATTTGGACACCCCAAGAGCCAAGTGGCTCAATATTGTCCAAATTAACAATGTGTGATTTTGCAAAATCATACCTGGGGGCCTCCCTGGTGGCCTGGGGTTATGTAAGTATTTGCGTTATCACTGCTATGGCCTGAGACTGATCCCTGGCCAGGGAGGTAACCCACATGGCGCAGCAGACCTCTCCTGTCTCGCCCTCTGCTCCCCTCGGCAGTGTATTTCAGTCAGTCTGCCTGTTCTGTTCCCCGCTCTGTCTCTGGTGAATCCTCTTACTTGCTCCCCGCACCCCCCCTCCCCACACCTCTGGTCTACACCCCAGTTCTTCTATGCAAAAACAAAATAAAACAAACAAAAAAAACAAAAATCATACCTGAAGTAAAAGGACCGTGGAAAATGCCAGGCAAGGTTTACTGATATAATTTCATAATCCACACCGCAGCTAATCTTTAAGAAACTACCCTCATGAAGTTTTGGTGTGGTAAAAAGAAGAATAAGCACAATTATTGGAGAAGGCTAAAAATGCCCATTTTACCACTACCTAGCCACACAGGGCTATAGATTTTCTTCATTTCACAACAGGTTGAATGCAGAAGCAGATATGAGAATCTTTTCTTAAGCCTGACACAATTGCTGCTAGTCCTACTGACTAGTTTCTGGTTTTGAAAATATAATTTTTAATGAAAGTATTTTGTTTATGTTTGCATGTCATGGATTTCTTCCTATTATGTAACTGAATCAGTATATTTCCAGATTCAACATCTAATGTAGCAAATCTCAATAGATCCATACTACAGAAAGAAAAATCTCTTTTGGGTCCTCAAGAATTTGAGGAGGAATATTATTATTATTATTATTTTTAGATTTATTCATTTATTCACACAAGCACTGGGCACAGTCAGAAGCGTGGGAGAGTGAGAGAACCCGCCAGAGCCAGAGCGGGGAGCAGAACAGGCAGAGTGACGAAATACACTGCTGAGGGGAGCAGCGGGCAGCAGGAGAGGTCTGTGCCATGTGGGACCCTCGCCTGGCGGCCGGGGATCGAATCGGCGCTGCAGAGGCTGCGGGCAGCCTCACAGCCCAGCGCTCAACCGCTGCGCCACCAGGGGAGGCCCGAGGAGGAATATTATTGATGGAGGCCTAGAGGAGGGCAGCGGTGGATGGGGTGGTGGCGCTAATTGGCACCGCAAAGCCAACTTGAGCCCAGAAGTATTTTTCATTGGACACATACAATTTGGCTCTAGCAGTGTTTAAAACAATAGTTTATAGCAGCACTATTTACAATAGCTAAGCTTTGGAAATAACCCAAATGCCCAAAAATAGATGACTGGATCAAGAAGATGTGGTACATATACACCATGGAATATTACTCAGCATTCAAAAAAGATAAACACATGCAATTTGCAGCAACATGGATGGCGCTGGAAGGGATCATGCTCAGCGAAATAAGCCAGAAAGAAAAAGAAAAATACTGGATGGTCTCACTCATAGCAGGAATCTAGAAAACTTAAATAAGGGACCAGGAAAAAGAATAACTATAAGAAAGAAAATATCAAAATCAACAAACAACTATGAACCAGAGACACTCTATGGGGGGGTGGGGGGCAGGGAAAGGAGGGTTGGGGTCAAAATAAGGGGGTTGCATTTGTATGGGGAATATAAAAATAAAATTTAAATTAAAAAAAACAAAAAACCAATAGTTGGATTTTGAGTGACATTTCTCTACTTATAAATTGGCAGATTTTATGTGAAATACCAGATTTTTGGGTTCTCTTGAAAAACTGGATGGACAGGCGACCTTGACTCCACATTCGTGTGTGGGCCCTGGAGCTGGGCAGCAGCTGCCTCTTCTGGGCACATGCCTCCCAGCTTTGCTCCACCCTCACCACATGTTACCCCTTAGCTCCCTCCATTGAGACCTGCTCCTCCTCAGTCTTCCTCCCGGCTCGCTCAGCTGCTGGCAGCTGTCTGTATTGGCAATGTCTGACCTACATGGTCTCCTTGATGGCAGGAAGTTGGGAAGACTTGGTTGTATCCTGAGAATCTTCATCTCCCCCAGGGGGATGCTGTACATAACAAAGGCCAGGAACCTGGAACATGAAGCTGAGGCCAGCAGATGAGGCATTTCTGAAATGGAGGAAGAGGTCATGTTTTTAGGCTCTTGTTCTCAAATCTCCTGCTAACCTGTGACCTAATATGGAAAGTTGAGGCTAGGTGGGGGTGTCTGTGTTCAAACCTGACTATGGCTTTTGATAGCGTAAACTTTGGGTTCCTAACCTCTCTGTGTCTTGGTTTTCTGAAAGCAGGCTAATAATACCATCTTACGGGTCTGTTGGGAAAAATAAATGAGATAGTAACTACCAAGTATTTAGAACCACGTCTGGCACACAACAAGCCCTCAGTGATTGTTAGCTATTATTATTATTATTCTTTTGAGCTGCATTTGAGTCTGGTTAAACAGGGCAGTAAACTACTTTAAGGTTCTGCTAAGGCCAACTGGGCTCTGTCCTTGTCAACCCCAGGATCCTGACATGAATGGACCCTAAACATACTTCAGAATGACATGGTGCATCATTTTGATTGACAGTCAGACACTTAATTCACAATGTTAATCTACAATGGATTGGAAATAGATGAATCGTGTGAACAAGTTCATTCATTCATCCATTCATGCACTCATTCATTGGATTAATCATCTCTGCATTTATTAAGCATCTATTGAGTACTCACTATGTTCCAGGCATATAGATATAAAAGTTCACATCCTCCTTGACAACCATCAGATTTTCCTGTAGGACAGGGCTTACATATATTAATTCTCTGTTTGTTAAAAACATCAGCCCACATATTTCTGTGGCACTGTGAAAGAGCGATTCCTAATCTGAGGCCAGGGAAATAAATCACTGTTCTGGAAACTGGAAAGAGAAACAAGACTATAACTCTTAGAAAAAATTCCGTAAGTACCCAATTTATTCAGAAAACAATACAGCTTAAATATTGGTGTTTTTTTTTTCAGTCATACATTTTTGCCATCATTCCCAAAATGTTGTGCATTTGTCTGACATGTATTTGCAAGATTAGGCTCTATAATCATAACACTGGAAAAGAAATCATAGGAGGCATTTGATTTGCTAGTTAACACTTATCCCCTCGACAAATAAACAACAGACAAATCTGTGTTGCCTTGTGATTTGCTTTGCCATCTCTGTGACCAAAAATAAGTTCTATCTTGGGCCTTTATGCCTACGGAACACTTGGTTGTTTCTCTACGCGAAGATTATACAAGTAGAACATTCATTCTTTTGGTTCAAGACTGGCTAGTTTATATCAAAACAAAATACCTCTATTCAAAACAGTAAACCCAGGCATTTCTGCTGACAGCTTGCTCTCAGGAGTGATAAAAGAGGTGCAAAGAAGCCCTACACAATGCTTTAAGATCACCTGCTGGAGCAGAGGTGTGGGGGAGCCGCACTGCCGGTCCATGGCAACGTCCATCGCTGTGGTTCCACCAAAGACTCTTTGAGCACTGCTGGGGGTGGACGTAAAGAATGGAACCACTCATGCTGTGGAGTGGGGTGCTGCTTTTTAGGGGGCAGAGGCCAGCCAGTAGGAGGCTCCCTGGTCTGTTTAAAAAAGAGGTGAGAATATAAAGCAGTGAGACTGATTTGGGGTATGCAGCTTCTGGAATCAGTCTCATTACTTTCTACTCCTACCTCTGAGACAGGCAGGACCTTTGTGCTACTGTGGGAAGAGGTGCCGTTCTCAAGCAGACTAGTCGCTGCCCTGCTTTGGAAGGTCTCAACCATTACGCCCTAAGGTTTGGAGCCTTGTTACTTTTCATGCCATCTGAAGATTACACTGGCATCACCTGGGACCTTGTTAGAGATGCAGAATCTTGGGCCCATGCAGACCTATTGCATCACAGTCTGAATCCTAATAAGACCCTCAGGTGACTTGGGTGTACAGCAAAGTCTGAGAGGTATTGGGCCAGGTGCCCTAGACCCACTTCCAGAAGACCACCTAATTGGGAAAACCTCTTCAGTGGAGACACCATTCTCAGCAGGGAGGAATTATAGATAACAATTGCAAAAACAATGTGGGATTTTTAATTTTATTTTAAACATGCAAAATACAGTCCATGCATCTGCCATTTTGAAAAGTCTCTCATCCTACAGCAGATCAAACCAAATGTATTTTGGCTATCAACATTCAGTAAATGTTTCAAAATGCTTTACAGTGTAAAGATAATAAGAAATTTAGCAAAATTTCAACAAACCTGTATAAAAACAGATACAGATACCATTTTATTTCAAGGCGACATGCTGTAATGTAAAGAGTAGGTTATAATTATTTGTGTTTCTTTGTAAAAAGTCTTTAACAATACAAGGCTTAACAGATCCAGGCCTCAGGGCTACACATGCAAAAAAAATTGTCAATTAGTTAAAAATCACCAAAACGTGCTATCTTTAAATGTGTGTGTGTGTGTTTTAAGTACAGGAGCAATAGAAGTATTAAATATTAGCAGGATTAGTACTTCAGAACTCTGTAAAAGTGTGTGGAGGTCATGGAGCTAGTGTCCTGGAAGACTCATACATTTCTGATGAACATTTTGGCTTAATCCCTTTGCCATTGTAATAGTCCACGACTTGGTTTGGGACTTCTGCCAACACACTCTTTGCCAGGGCAGCTGGAGATGCCTGCAGGGAAGAAGAAATTGCCGTGACTCTCATGCCTGGCTAAGAGGGTTGATCTAGACTCAGCCTCCAAGACTTGAGTCCTGTTCTGAGCAGCTGGTTTCATTCATTCATTCATTCATTCATTCATTCATTCATTCATTCTTTGTTGAGGGGCAATTTCAAGCAAGAATGTCAGATTATTGGAAAATGAGCTTTACTCTTATAATTGTACTACTTCATGCTTGTCTTAAAAAATAAAACTACTCACAGTTGAAGATGGGTGAACACTGGAGGAGAGAAAGGACTATCCCGTAGTTTGGTTTCTGATTTGCATTCAATTCCAGATACTTCTGTGTGACCAGCCCCACACGACCAGTGAGCCTCTGACATATGGCTAGTGTGACTGAAGCACTGGATTTTAAAATTTCATTTAATTTTAAAACTGTGAAGCTTAAATAGCCAATGTAGCTATTTGCTACTGTCCTAGACAGCATGGTTCCTACACGATTCTCCCACTCTGCATATTCACGCTAGTGATTCTGGAGCAGGAGCAGGGCTGGTGAGGGGCGGGTAGGTTGGGAACAAGACAAAAGCATGAAAGCTGCTGGCAACACAGGCAGGCACTACACTAAGCTTAATACCAGCACCACCTCTAATCTTCCAATTTACCTATTGTTGGCCTCTCTGTACAGCTGAAACTCCGTGGCACAGAGAGTTTAGGTAACTTTCCCAGAGCCACACAGCTCACAGCCCTGTCTGCTTCAAAGCGCTGAGTCATCATGCAGAACAGAAAAAAGAGGCCTCATGGCTTACATGAAAGGTACCAGCTCCTACCTTCCGTTTTATTTATGGTTTATTGAATTTACAGTAGATTAGTTTGGATAATGAAATTGTCCTTAAATCTAATTTGAAATCCGCAAAGATAAGGAGGATGAATTGCTCCTGATGTTCTTTTTTTTTTTAAGATTTATTTTATATATTTATGCATACAAGAGCTGGGGTATACAGGCCAGAGATGCGTGGCGGGGGGCGAGAAGATTCACAGAGACAGAGTGGGGAGCAGAACAGGTGGAGGCAGATCTACTGAAATACACTGCTGAGGGGAGCAGTGGGCGAGACAGGAGAGGTCTGCTGTGCCATGTGGGTAGCTCCCTGGCCGGGAATCGAACTCGTGCTGCAGTGGCTGCCGATAGCTTGATAGTGCTGAGACTCACTACCTGTGCCACCAGGGAGGCCCAGCTCCTGATGTTGTGCTTTGGTCTCCCACCCCCAACTAGCTGGAGTCCGGGAGAGAGACTCCAAGCTGTGTCCCACTGCTCTGGCCTGATGAGGCTCTGCCCTCGTCTCCAGTGTCTCTCGACAACCTGCTCACAGCCCCTGCCCAGACTCCCTCCAGTGCCCGGCTCTGCTTGGGCTGCTCTCTCTGCCCTGGTGTAGGGTAAAGAAAATATCAGGCTTTTCTGCCCTTCCGCCATCAGGATAGATGATGGATCCTTGTCCTGAATGCATGCCTGATGGCGGGCACCTGGAATAGGGTGTGGGCATAGGTAGATGGGATTCAGCTGAGCTAAGACTGTGCTTTTAAGGGCGGCGTCACGGGGGGGACGCCAGCAGCAGCAGCAGCAGTAGAAGCCGAAGCCGAAGCCGAGAAGCAGCAGAACGAATGCTAGAGAGCCCAGATAGAGTGAAGACTTGCTGGGGTCTGGGAGGCCTGCCAGCCTCCCAGCCCCCCAGCCTGCACCCCTGCCTGCCATATGCCTGGTGAACCCCAAATAAAAAACCTGCAAAACTACTGAGGACTCTGACTCCTCCTTTACCCGGTCTGCATGGGATCAGAAAACCTGCACTGTGTCCAGTCCTGCCCTTACACCTGGCATGTGGGGTTAATATTCTAGCTCTTTTTAGCCACCCCTAGGTTGCTTAGTATGGGACTTTTCTACTGGCACCTTTCTCCCAACCATGCAATTTTCTAGGAAATTCCTTGGGGCCTGGACCCTGGGCTTGCTCTCTTACTATGATCCAGTGCCAAGCACAGGCCTTGCACATAGCAGGCACTCCTCGAGCGTTTAAGGAAGAGGAGGAGGCCTGGTACTGGCCAAACCGTGCAGGGCTCAGTGGCATTTCATTAGCACACAGATGTGGGTGTGGTGGAGTGTGTGTAAGGATGGTATATGTGTGGGGTGTGTGTGGGTGGTATATGTGCATGTGGGTGTATGTGTGTATATTTGGGGGAGTTTATGACTCTCCTAAGGAGTGAGCTCTTTGACCTTCTTCACTCAAGTAAGTTCTGAGTGGTGGTCACTGATGTGGTTCTTCCTGGCTGATAAAATGGGGCAGAACCACAAAATCTGCAAGAATGCTTACTCCTCTGCACCATGGGTGTCACATGAGGAAGCAGTTCACTCGTGAACACAATGGCTGCCCAAAACATGCCTCCTGGTACAGGAGGCTGCTTCCCTTCTCTTCACTCCACTCCTGCTGTCCAGAAGCAATGCTGGGGGGCTGGGAGGTCCCTTCCTCAAGTGAGCCCTTACCCCAGGGACTCCCACACAGCTGAAGGAGGTTTCTTTGTAGGAGAAGGGCACCCCCTGGACAATTTCAGCCCCATAGGTGCAGAGCTTTGTGGAAATTTTAAAGGCTCCTCTTCTTTGGTGGAGTTAATTATCCCCAAATTGGAAATTACCAGAAACTGTCCCTGAATATTTTTTTGACATCTATGTCTAGTGGGATGGATTTAGGGCCATTGAGGGAATGAAACATTACTTGACTATTTATTATTGATTAGAGCCAAAGATGCAAATCTAGATGCTAGACTGTTGAAAACTGGTCAGGTTTCTGTTCCGCAGGGAAAGTAATCCAAAGATTATGTCTAGGTTTTTGTTTGTTTGCTTGTTTCTTGCTTTTGGCCATTAATTAGCTTTGAATCTGCCTTAGGAAACTCCAGTATTTCCCCACTGACCTTAATCAGCTGTTTCCTATTGCCTTTGAAGTAGCTTGGTCATTGTTCTGGGTCTTTAATTATTGAACTAGAGAAATCATTGGTGCTACTTCTTAGATATCCATCGAGCATCTAGGTTCCTGTCAATTTGAAAATATACTTTGCCAAATCAAACACAGGCAGGACCAGGGCACATGGCTTAACAAGGAGAACCCAGGCTGACTTTGGCTTCCATTTGCTACTCTGGTGGGGCACCCTTGGGGAGGGGCAGCCTGCCCCACTGCATATGGCAGCCCCAGTGGCACAGGGCTCCTAAGTCACCTGGATCAGGGCAAGTGCCAGCCCGCTGCTGGCTGCCTAGGGGACAGGCGCCTTTTCCCTAGCTCAGGTCACACTTCTTTCTCCAACAGTGGAGCTCTGCTTCCCGCACACTGGCCAGCTCTGTGTGACTGCTGCAGAAGCATGTGGGGGTGAGCTTGCGTGAGGGTGAGCTCGGGGGGCCACCCTCCCACGGGAAGCCCCGGGGCATGCGTACATGTTTGAAGTTCCTGAAGGGTACGAACTGCACGATGTCTCGCAGGACCGGCTCTCCCTTGGGTGACCGCAGGATCCCGTCGTCACCATCCAGCATCTGCATGTCGCTGAAGTCTGCGTTGCCCACGCCCACGATGATGACCGACATGGGGAGGTGGGAGGCGTGCACGATGGCCTCCCGGGTGTCTGCCATGTCTGTGATGACGCCGTCGGTCAGGATCAGCAGGATAAAGTATTGCTGCCGTTGCCCAGACACAGGTGACCAAGGGGATGCAGAGGTGGGGAGACAAGGTCGATACCAGTTACGCATGGGGTGCTGCTGGGCACACTGGCCACAGCAATGGGGAGGGTAGACTTTTTTTGAGTCTAGAATGCAGAATGTTCTAAGGGCTTTATGGTTGGCGTGGAGGGGCTTAAAAGCACAGTAATTGTGGGTGCTTTTTAACCACACTAGCAATGGCCACAAAGTACAGTGTGGAAGGGCAGCGGGAAGGCTGGGAGCACTGGTCACCAGCCCTCATCCTGAGATCCAGGGAAAGCCTTCCCTGCTCTGATCTCAGCCTCTTCATGGCTCAACTGGCATGGAGGAGATCATTAGCTTGGTGCTCTTAGCTTGGAGATTTTTTTTTTAAGAGTCTAAAGCTGCTGACTCCATGGAATTTTGAGCCCTTGAAATGTGGCTGGAGCAATGTACTTTTAAATTTAATTTCATTTTAATTTAAATTTTAAAAATGGATACTGGATCCAGTCATTGGAAACCTTGTAAATGCTTGCAACAAGTCACATCTGTGGATCTACTTTTTTCAACTCTCAATATGTAAATACATATACAGAGACCAAGCATTTGTGATAAGCTTGCATCCAAATGAGGAAGATCTGAGTATAAAAAATAAACACCAGATCTTGAAGATTCAGTACAGAAAGTGAAATGTGTCATCAAGAATTATTTTCTACGGAGTACAGGTTAAGATGAGAAGACTGGTTATCTTGGTTAAATAAAATATATTCATACAGTTAACTTTTTCCTTTCATTTCACTTTTTAAAATGTGGCTACTAGAGAGTTTTCAATTGCACAAAGGACTCGCGTTACATTCTGATCGAGAGCAAAGAGTCTCAATGTGGGCCTATGGGCTGCTGGAAGACTTTAAGCCAGTTACGAACTTGGGGTAAATTCCTTATGTCTTTTCATTAACCTCTAACTGAGATTTATCATCTTTCCAATTATAAATATATGTAAAAAATTAAATTAGTTTTAGCTGTTCTCGTGACTTAGTCACCAATCGAAATCAAAGAAATTTCCTTGTTATGTGATTGCTGCAAATATCTCAATATAGCATTTGTACTCAACACTACTAGAAATTACATAATTTTCAGATTAGCTACTGGGTCTCATAATTTAATGTTAATAGAAGAAGCACTTTATTACTGTGTCTCTGATGCTCCTCTATTACATGTTAACATATTTTGCTAATAGCATTTCAATATAACCGGTCTATTTTACAATATATTTTTATGCTGTGCATTTAAAAACACTGAGAAGTCTATGAACTTTACCAGGTGCTAATGAGGTCCATGGAACAAAAAGAGCTAAGAATCTCTGGTCTGAGAGAGATTGTCAGGGTTTTAGAATCTGATCCTTTCAGGGTTCATCTAGCTAAAGGTAATAGGTTTCAGATTGTCGGGTCAAATCTCTGATGGAAATTTCCAATAACGCTAGCAGTAACAGTCCAAAGTCAGGCTGAGGAAACACTCACGATGAAATATTACACTCTTCCAATGTACCTGAGGTTTTGTTAGAAAAGAAGAGCATTTTTTTCCTTCCTAGAAGAATTCCACAAAATTGAGGAGAAAACCCCATAGTCACAGAGTCCCTGGCACAGCCTACCCCAAAGGTGAGGACCCTGAATAAGCAGTGACAGTTGGGGTCCTGGACCACCGACTTCAAAGAATAGGTGAAAAGGTGAAAAGCACCAGTGTTCCTGGCCCCTGGGGGACTTTATTTAGGGATTTTGAGCTGAGAGGCTTCCTGCACTGCTTTCTGACTTAATCTTCCAGGGAGGTTCCTTGGGGAATGAGTGATGCCACGAAGCTCACCGTGACTTATATCCGCTCTGAATCCAGAGCCATATCAGCCCTGATCTCTGCTACGCCTGTGCATCCTTATCCCTGAGGAGCTAAGATTATTCAGTTTTCAAAATGAACTCCAGGAAGCTCTTGGGGAGAAAGAGGGTAAAAGAAACAGATAACTTTGCACCCCATCCCTTAGCCAAGACTTAGTAGGAACAGTTGGTTTTCTAAAATCTGTTTTATATTTTCAGTTTCTGAACAAGGTTTCATTCGAGAACTCTGAATCAGAAGTTCTGGTGATACAAAAATGTTAAATGCTAAAATGAAATACCGATCTTGTCCAACCCTTATTCCTTAACTTGCATCTGTGAAAGCATTGAAATTTGGCCTGAGGTCTGTGGTTTTGGCAAGAGGCAGGTGGTACTGACTGGGACAAATGTAATTTTCAGAGGAAGGTTGGGGAGGAAAGTCACTGGTGTGGGTGGAGGAACCAGTGGGAGGAGAGATGCAGGCAGTAGGTATAGGCAACTCATTTGAATTTTTGAATTTTGCTCTAAAGGAGAGTCAATTAAGGGACAGTAGTTAAAAGGGTAAATTGTTGTCAAGGGAGAGATTTTAACTTAAACAGGAGATAGGATAGCGCCTTTTTTTATCTAGTGGGGATGAACCTTCAGTGGGAAGGGGAAGCAGAGGTGATATAGAAAGAGAGGGTGCAGCTGCTGGGTACGCCCTCAGGTAATCAGGAGGGGATGTTGTCCAGCATGCAAGAGGCTGGCATCATGCCACTATGCACCCTAGCTGAGGGAAGACCTGAACATGGACAAGGGCAAGCTGCTTAGATGAGGTGGGGAAGGAAGATGAGGGAGTAGTATGTGTTTTCTTTATGCAAGTGTGGTATCTTGGGATTAAGAATAAAAATATAGAGAAAATTTCGGACATCAATGATATTCTACTGAATCTGAAAAAAAAATCTAAAAAAAGAAGTATTGATATCTATAAAAATGATAAAACACACGTTATTGTGGTCATCTACTTAACTGTGAAATATTAGGGGAAAAAATCAAACTCTGGTTTTATGGCCACAGTTATCATTGTTCTTGAGAAAACCACCAATAGAATGTGAAACAAATCCTGGCAGTGGTGTTGTGTGTTGCTGCGCTTGACCACTAGGGAGCAGAGTTCTCCTTTGCTTCCATCTGTGGTATGGGTACACAGAAAAGCAATCTTATATTTGGACAGTTTTTTTTTTCTTTCCAGGAACATACGATGGATCTAACCTGTATCCCAGTGAGTATAGTAGCTTTCCTTGTTGAATGTCTCCAGTACCCACTCAATGTGGCGGACATTTCACAATAACCCAGCAGAGATGGGCATGATAATTCCCATTTTTCAGATGAGTCTGGGAGTTGGAAAAGTTAAGTCACTTGTCTACACTTACACAGGTAGCAATACCACAGTGGGGTGTGCGCCCCGTGATCCGTATCCAGGTCAGGGGCCACCCCTCTCCTTACCGAGGCCTCCTTGGTGTTGGTCTCCTCTGATGCTGACTTGGCCACTTTCTGGATAATGGGGGCAATGTTGGTGGGGCCGTAGAGCTGGAGCTTAGGAAGGCAGCTCTGATAGGCTTCCACAACTCCTTGAATTCCTAGGGCGAAAGGGGCAAAGATCAGTCGTGCAAAAGTCCCTCAAATATATTTGTCACCAAACGCATACAAATAAGGCAGGCCATCACCCAAATAGTCCTCATCGACACTATGGTGTGTTCTTCTGAGGTGGGATCCTATATCTCTGAATCCTGTACGATAGCGTTGAAAACCATTACCTCCATGAAAATAAAAATACCACGTGTATGTTCTTGAGATAAACCACGTTGCTAGGGTGGTTTCCTACGCCCCTGCTGAAACTATTAGATTTAAAGGCTCAAGCAAAAGCAGTCATTTCCAGAAACATCTCACGATCACCCTTACATTATATAATAGGGCTGTTTGCCCCAGGGTCTTACTTTATGCTTGCAATTTCATTTCATCCTCCTAACATAATGAAATAGATGTTACAACCATTTTCCAGGTGAAGAGACAGAGGCATAGAGAGATGAGAAGATGAGCCCCAGGTCAGACAGCAGTGAGTGCTGGACTCAGGATCCAGGCCAGGGCTCACGGGGCCAAAGGGGTCTGTCCTCAGCCACCGGGCAGGTCAGTTTCACACTCCTCCTGCTTTCACACCACTTTGTTCCTGGACTCGAGTGTATACTACCTGCCACTGTCAAGAGTCCCGATGCTCAAGGCCATAGCCCCAGAGGGGAGGCCCCTGGGGGCAGGACCAGTGACTCCTTCCCTTAGGTAGCTTGAGGCTGGTCTGGATGTGACACCGAGCATAGCACGCATCTGCCACCCTCACCCGCAGGAGATTGTAGTGTCCAGATGAGCGAGTCTTATCATCATGGTCACCCCTCATTAAAAGGGGGACTTCTGTCCTGAAGCCACGTGAGCCAAGGAAGTCATAAACACCCTGATTGTGGGGCTTCTCCCAGCACCTCCTGGCTTTTGCCTGCCTGGGTCAAGTCGTAATCATGGCCCACAGTGACAATTGGTTCCTAAGGCCTTTTTCAGCAGCTCCGCCAGCGTCTATACCTGTGTTACCTCGTGCCTTCCTCTGTGTCAGCTCGTCCCTTTCCACCCTGAAACAGCACACTGGTCCTGTTTTTGGCCAGAGGGACACACTCACACTTCCTGAGCTTGTTCCCCACAAGCAGTTCTTGGGTATTTGGAGGGACCAGTTCTGTTCCATTCTGCCCTTAAACACGCTTCCCACCTCAGTGAAAATTCGGCTCCCCTTTGTCCTGCCCCACAGCTGGCTTTTCTAGGGACAGACACCAAATTCATAAGCTGCCTGGTCCTGAGGTTAAGGGATGCTCAGCAGAATTTCCTTAGTTCTTATGGTTCTTGAACTCTTGTCCAACAAGGTTGATTTTCCTTTCTGAAGTTTCAGGCAGATGAAGTCTGAGAACGTGGAACAGGTGGACAATAGGGTGTGTGTTTCTTTCTGTTTGGGTGGAAAACCATTATTATCATTTAAGAGTGGGGATGGCTGGGTATGAGGGAAATCTAAAACACAGTGGAATTGGGGTGAGGGATCACGAGAGGAAAAAGTGGCAGAACAGAGACTGGGTCTCAGGTTATGACCAGTGATTATGGTTATAGGAAAGTGCCGTGTTTGTGAAAGAAATTGGTGGATGCTTGGCACACCCCCACTGAGTGTGAATTAACCTTGACAAGAAGGAAGCGAGACAGGGCATTTCTATCTACCTCACTATGGAGACATCTAAAGCTTCACAGCAACAAATGTCCACAGCTCTATTTGCTATTTAGAAAGCAGGAAAAATTCTAGAATCAAACTTATCATCAGAGTTGGCATCACTGCTTCACCATCATCCTTCTGTGGAACTGTGTTGGGGAACTTCTAGCTGGAGACAACAGAACACAAAACCTTTGAGAAGGTTGTCCTGGCACAAAGCATGAAGCTGCTTTCTTGAAGTCACTGAGTCCAGCCCCACCTCTGCTAACACACTGGAAGCATCACTTAGTCCCCATATCTCTCCCTGTCCCTAGACCTTCACTGAGAAAGTGGTGAAAAATAAATGACAATTTGCAAAGCAGAAAGAATGCTATCTGATTCCTGCCCATCAGGACAAACTCCCCCCAGGTATCCAGCCAGAGGAATCCAGAATCCAGATCAGCACTCTTGCTGGGAGCTCAGGACCACCTCTGTGTCCTCTCTTTTCCAGATCTTGTTGTTCTGCTGTATTGTGGCTCAGTCTTGCCTTTGGAGCCTGGTTTGCTTAGACCCAGAAAGCCTACTTCTCTGCTGTGACTGTGCTCTGGTCTCAGAGGAGAGAAGTTAAGATGGGAAGGTACAAAGGGCCTTGAATTGCTGGCTTTCTCGCTGTGGTGATTTACCTGCACATTCTGGGTTGTCTTCATTAAAGTTGATTGCGAAGTCATGAGAGACCTAGACGCCAATTAAAATTTTCAAACGGAAGAAAGGAGAATTAGAACTTTAATCCAGTAAGGAGGCGCTGGGGTTTAGAGTTTGCAAACAAATGCCCATTACATTCATTATGTGTAAAGCAGCAGGAACCATTTTAAGCCTTTACACAATCAATCTGAGATGGAGGGTGAATTCTAAGCTCCCTGTGGAGTTGAGGTGACAGGCAGATTTTCTAGAATCAGATAAATGCTGGCAGGAGGGAGAATAAGGCATATAAAAAAAAAATCTAAGAAAAGACTTCAGAAAAATGTTAACTCCAAATAGCTTCCAGCCAGAACTGGCCAGTTTGGAGGCTTAGATTTGGCTAAGTTCTATTTGGACCCAGTGATTTAAAAAAAAAAAAAGAAAAGAAAAAGGCAACTCCAAGTTGTCTGCTCAGTGTGCTAAGGACTATAAAGGCTCCATGCAAAGTGGCTGACACTTAGAGTGATGCTAGTATGATATGCTGAGTGACAGGGCAGGGGGCTTTCCAGTGTACACAGGTAAAATGGACTGTTCTCTACTTTTGGCAAAGTAATAAATTAATAAACATGGTCATCTTCCTTTAAAAAAAAACTTGCAATCTTCCAAATTTCTCTCTCTGGTAGGTCCTATGGATAAGGTCCTACCAGACCTTTTTAAACCTGAGGAAGCAAGAGGGATATTTGGGCATCCAAAGATTTTCATTGGCTTATTTGGAATTTTCCAGAGACTTTTATTTCAAAGGCTATTTCTGGCCCTGGTTCTCTTGGGGACTAGAAAATAGGACTTTATGCTTAAAAAGATTCTCTTTTCTTATTGGGAGGCCAGAGTGCTGTGCCTGGGTCATATTTCTTTGCCTTTAAGACTTCCAGGTGAGCCAACTGACTGTCCACCACCCACTACCCACCACCTTCTCTGCTTTATTGGCCTTCAGTTTCTGTCCAGCCTCGAGAGCCTGCTTTGCCTGCCCAAAACATAGGCTGAAAGAGTTGGGGCATTAATGCCCCTGGGAGTCACCTGAATTGGGGGTTGACAGGAGATGGTAGATCGACACCCCAGGTCTCTTGTTCTTGGGACCCAGGTGTTTTCTATGTTGTCTCCCAGGGTTCCACAGCAGGATTAAGCTTTGGCTACCGTGGTGGTAACTGACTTGTTAGTTACCCTGTGCTGCCTTCCTCCCACCAACCCACCTGCTGAGCTTGCTCCAACTCACAAACAAACTACCTGAATCCAAATTGTGGTGTCAAGGTCTGTTCCTGGAGAGTGTAGACTAAGAGGTGCTTAGATCTCTGCTCAAGGTAAACTCAGATTTTATCCCAGGCAAGTGAGTGGTGGCGACCGTGCAAAATCCCCAGGGATGCCTGTGCTGCTGTACCATCTGTGCCTCTCTGGCACACAGGGAAAATTGGGCCCGGAAAAAGGGGGTGTTGGAAAGGCTTTGGGGAGCACATATGAAGATAAGTGAGGGAGGGCTGGAAGGGCAGCAGAGATTGAGTTAGCTGACAGGCAGAGTGGGGTCAAGGCAGAGGTAGGCAGGAGGAGTTTAGGGAACAGTGTCTGCAGAAAGGGACCAGGCAGTTGTCATGGATGAGAAGAGGAAGGCCAGGAGTATGGGGCATGGACACTCTCGCATCAGCCCTGTTGGGCCACGCTGAGACTGGATGGTTGGCTACCTGCTGGGATGTGGTGGGGGATGCTCATGCATGACCAGCTGGACTGGTGGTGACTGAAGTGTAACCCAGCCGCAAGAAGCCCTGTCCTCCTTCTGGAACAGAGGACCCCAACCCCCCCAGGGTATGCATTTCTCAGCTCTGGCTAATTCTTATATGTAATCTTTAATCTTAGTGTTGCCAGGGCTTTCAGTTTCTCCAGAGAAGCCAGAAATCTGGCTTCTTTCACTTAATATGAAATTGCTTAGGACATAAAAAAATATGTCCAACAGAAGATGTTTGTGGCTTTAACGGTGTCTACAGATCATTAGGTGAGAGCTGCTGTCTGCTACGCTTCCTCCGCATCTGCCCTATTTCCAACAAATGCTTCTAGAACTCCATAGCCATGCCCAGGAGAGAGGTCAGTGTGGAATACAAGGAAAACAAGAAGGACAGGTCAGGAAGACACATTTCATCCCATCACTGCTCTTCCCCACAGTAATGAGGGGATGGACTCCCTCTTGCTGCACGGGCACAGGAGGGGAGGCCCCTGGCTTGACATCTCTGGGGAGGGCACTGCCAGCATCTGTCTGTGCCCTGTAGGCAGACACAACAGGCCAACGAGAAATCGATGATTGGGCAGAATTGCTCCAACTAAGCTTGGACCTCAGAGGGCCCTCCAAGGCCCTCCCACCTGGGGGAGCTGAGTTCCTTGTGAGACTGTCCCATAGGCGCATCTGGTATACCCCTGGGGAGGGCCTCGGCTCCACAGAAGCTCATGTCTCTCAAAGAATACCCTTTCTTTGTGGCACAAGAAGGCAGTATCAAAATCAAACAGGATTCCAATATCTCTGTAGCAGTCTTTTAGCTCCCCAGTTCTCTAAGCTAGAATGGTTCTCTGTGTCTCCCACCCAAGACTGGTGTGCAGAGACTCAGATGGGGGAGTCTGCAGACCTCATTGCTATGGACGGCACAGCTGGCATCACCCAGAGGATCTTCTCTGGGGGAGACCTGAACAGACAGACTGTGAGTTACTGGGGATGAACTTCCTGGGTGCCTGCTCAGTCTCTGACCGTATCTGCATCCATGACAGTAACAGGCCCCTTCACGGGCATTCCAGAATACCAAGGGGTTGGGGTCCATCAAAGACAGGCTCTGAGGAGTACAATCTCACTGGTTCTGAAGACCATTTCTGACTCTTTGCATCCTTGATATAAGTAGGCCCTTACATCAAGAACCCAAAGAGAGAGACTCCTGGGAAGGAACCCCAAGTCACCCTGGGGCTACAGCCAAGTGAAAGATGACCCCATTTCTACTCACTCACCGTGTACTCTGGGGGTATCCTGGCACCGAACCCAAAGGCTGGGAACATTTTGTCACTGAAATAAAAATGAAAAAAAAATGCTGCTTCATGTGCTCATCTAATGAGAAAGAAAAACCTGAACCTGCATTACTTTGCTAGGACACGTTGCTATGCCAAACGCTGACTCATGCCTCTTGATTATCTGGGGTAACGGGATCGCAATAGCACGAATAATGAAAATCAAGACATCACCCCCAAACTCATCACAGACATCAGTCTGTAACTTCTTCCCTTCATTTTTTTTTTTTTTTTTTGCTGGATTTGATACCAAGGTATAAAATGCCCCTACTCTGATCTTCTCTTTCCCTTGAAAAGTGATCATGAATCAAGTAACTCCTATGACTGTGTTGGGATTTTTCATATATATTATCTCTTTAAATCTCTATAGGGAGAGACAATTATTCCCATTTTACAGATAGAGCAATGCCTTGGGAGGTAAAGCAATTTGTCTAAGACCACGCTGCTTGTTAGTGTCGGATTGAATCCAAACTTGAGTCCAAGGGGATTTTAAAAAGCAATGGGAGGGGCCTCCCTGGTGGCGCAAGGGGTTAAGACGCAACCTATGAAGCTATCAGCAGTCACTGCAGCACGAGTTTGATCCACGGCCAGGGAGCTACCCACACGGCGCTGCAGACCTCTCCTGACTCGCCCGCTGCTCCCCTCAGCAGTGTATTTCAGTCAGTCTGCCTGTTCTGCTCCCCACTTTGTCTCTGGTGAATCCTCTCATCCCCTGCACCTCTGGCCTGTACCCCAGTTCTTGTATGCATAAATATTCTTTAAAAAAAAAAAAGGCAATGGGAGCTTTGGAAAGCATAGAAGGTGCTAATTGCCAGAATCTGGTTCCATTTGCAGACTTATGTCCATTACTTTATCTAATAGAAGCATCCATAAATTGCTTACATGTTTTGTCTTCTGAACTCAAAGGAACACTATTTTTTACATTCCTACCTTTACCTCCCTGCTGCCTCCCTGCACCAAATTTCCCCTTGTCCCTGCCTTCAGCATAATACTTGCCAGAGAATGCGTGCTCAATAAATATTTAATGAATAAGTAACTCATCAATTGAATCATTAGATGGTGCTACATAAAAAGGGTGAATTCTTGTGAAAACCCATGAGAGTCACATAAACATCCTTTGGCTTGGATTCTCTGACGCATACAGAAAGTAAGAAAGCCAGGCTCTCATCCATCACCACCTAACCGATTATAGAGGTCATTAGCAGCCATTGATGGTTTTTATAAAACGTCATCAAAACACAGCCAAGGTGACCAAATTTGGGTAGGGGCTGGGAGAGATAGAGAAGCCAGGATTATCCGAGATCAAAGTCTAATTTCTCCAGGAAATCTAGCTCTCCCCTTTTTTCTTGGTTGTATAGTTATGAGCTTCGGGGTACATTATGGCTAGCATGTATTAGATATGGCATTAATGCTGATACATAGAAAATCATTAGAGCTAACAGAAGATCAGCTACAGCTCTGAGAAAAAAATAATTTTGGTCCTTGGAAATATTGAAATACTTTACCTCAGCAATTCTTCCCTAACCAAGACCAAGGAAGGAATCTGTGAGGGGGGCTGCAGAGGTACTTTCCAGTTAAATCTGGAAGAAAGATTTCTGGGTGGATGAGGGGTTCCGGCTCTTCCAACTCAGAGACAGCTCAGAAATTGAAACAGAGAAACCTAAGAGGGCCCACACTCTTTATTTTCCCCTTTGGTTTGTTGGGGGGAGCGGGTTTTAACATTCCATCCATTTCTAATCATCCAACCAGTATTCGGGCCTTAATGATATTCCTTTTACATCTTCTAAGTCACCCTTGGGGACCTAAAGTTTGCTGACCCTGATGTCCTGTTATGTAATGGGGTTTCCCATAGTGAACAGTCAGGGAACAGGTCTTACCTACAGAGGAATAATTAATGAGCCAGGAGGGCATCTATTCTCTGAAGTTAGCCACCACAAAGCCTCTAACTAATAAACATACTAAAGAAAAGAATTTCAGACCTCAGCAACATCCACTCTGAAGTGGATTAAACATCCATTCTTTCTGATTAAAAATAAAACGAGGCAGAGGGAGTCTTATATAAGCAGCAATGAGGACAAGTCTTCAAAGAAACGGAGACTGGAGCCACTCAGCACTGAATAAAGGGGCCACTTAGCCACTATTGGGAAAATGAGTGGTGGAAACTGCCAGTCTGGAAGCTTTGGGGGCATGTCACCACACTGGTCAAAGCAAGATAGCTGATGACTAGAATGAAATAGTGTGAAATACAACCAAAAAGCCTCTGGTCTTCAAATAATGAATTGCTTAGGGAATGGTCATGGTGAAATGCTGTCCAGATGGAAGATTCATTATCAACCACCATTTTTACCTTCCCTGTTGAGGAAGATGAGCTAAAGCAAGAGATTAATAAAAGTAAGAGCAAATTACATCATCCAAAGAGCAATGGCCACTAACAGAGCAAAATGTCATTTCAGAACCCCTAGACATTTAATAGAGATTGTTCTCCAGGACACTGATATTAAAATTGGGGTACATGCGATGCAAAGCCCTTTTGGGCATAAGAGAGCATGACTTTTTCTTCTTTTTTTTTTGTAAAGGAAATCAGTATCTGGGTTCTCTACTTCCATTTGTATTCTCTGTGGGCAGTCATGTCCTGGAACACCTGTGATGGAAAGATCTGGTCTCCATGCACACCTTCTCTTTCACAAGTAACCTTTTCCTTTACCCAACTGAATCTCAACTGTCATAGCACCATGCTCCAGAGTGCAAAGACTCTGCAGTGAAAAATAAAGGGACAATTCTAAGTGTGTGATTCACTAGAAGATGAATCCTTTTGCATTCAGGGATCGTGGTGGTCAAACCCTTTCCATTACCATGGTCTTTTTTTAATATAAAAAAAGTTTTATTAGCATTTAGGTTAATAAAAACAAAAAATATTATATTATAATTGACAGACTGTCTCATTCTAGTAATCAGTAGCATTCATTTACAGATATGTAAACTGATGGGGAAAAACCCTACTCTCTATTTCATTAAGGACTTTAATTTTTTTATAGGCAATAAACAGGAACTGATATTTCCACTATATATGTTCTTTTGATCAATTATGAACTCATAATAATTGTAATAAAAACTCAACCAGAAGATATTTTTAAAATGCTTTGAATCTTTTCATCACAGAAAATTTTGGATATTAGAAATTAAAAAATGTATGGTCATATTTTTACTACAGAAATGTTTGATATGATGATCAATAAAAGCATTCCAGATCCATTTTTAAAGTTACATCTGGATAAAATGTGGGGGGGTGGGTGGTGAGTGAAGAGAATAGAAATAGGAATTCCTAAAAAAGAAGAAACAATTAAAATTCTCTACTCACACTGAAGAGCTTGTTCCTGTGTGTTTTAAATGGGTGTTGGTGGGTATTGGAGAGCTGTGATGTTCAGATTTGGCTGCACGCACTCACAAGAGTTACGTAAGAGTTTTCTTTTCAAATATCCATATTTACAACACTAGTCTCATGATGGAAATGTTAGAGTTTAATCTAAACATGTTTGGGGGTATACATGTTTTTATAAAATTCTTTTTAGGGGTATATGAACAAAATATTTTTATTATTTATTTATTTATTTATTAATATTTTTAAAATTTTTTTAAAGATTTATTTATTTATTTATTTATACCAGCACTGGGTATACGCAGAAGTGCGGGAGGGTGAGAGAATTCACCAGAGCCAGAGCGGGGAACAGAACAGGCAGACTAATGAAGTACACTGCTGAGGGGAGCAGCGGGCGGCAGGAGAGGTCTGCGCGCCATGTGGGACCCTTGCCAGTGGCCGGGGATTGAACCAGCGCTGCAGAGGCTGCGGGCAGCTTCGCAATCCAGCACTCAACCACTGTGCCACCAGGGAGGCCCTGAGCAAAATATTTTTTTTTTATTATTTTATATATTTTTTACATCATGCTTCATTTTAATACAATGTATGCTTTATCATCTCAAAGCAAAATATTTTTAAGGTCACTGGTCTCAAATGACTTTCAGATCTGCTACTGAGTTCTTTTTGTGTTCAGTATATTTTTAAAAAATAAATCGAGGGATTAGAAGACAAATGAGTTCTTAGGACAGAAGGCACAGCACGGAGACTATAGCTGACACTGCTCTGTGGTTACAGGAAATTTGTTAAGGGAGTAAATCCTAAGAGCCCTCATCATGAGGAGGAAATTGCTTTTGTTTTCATTTTATTGTATCTATAGGAGAAGCTAGGTAACTGAACTTATGATGGTAATCATTTTACAATATATGTAAGTCAAATCATGTTGGATGCTTTAAACTTGAACTGATTGAATCATGTTATTTCACAATAAAACTGAGAAAAATAAAAACCAAATACATAAATTAAGGATATTAAAGAAAATAGCTTCTGGGTACTGAATTTACAATAGGCAGAGCCACTTTATAGTCGTTAGCCGGCTGCTCTATGTCTAATCCTTACAAATGCTTTGTAAAGGAAGTAAGATAAATCTTCAATTTGCAATCCAGGAACCCCAGGTGAGGCAAACCTCAGGAGAGCAGAGGTGGCAGGGCTGGGCGCTGAACCCAGAGCCCCTGTCCCGGTTTCCTTGTGCTTACTCTGGTTCCTGTGGGCTCTGCCTTCAGGGGGGTGGTCTAGCCTAATGATTCAGAATAATGAGGCTAAGTCCATCTGTGTTCTAATAACAGCAAAGAATGGAACTAGCAGAATTCTAATGAGCCCAGAATTCTCCCTCCCAGGAGCCGTGACTGTGCCACCTTCCTCCTTACAAAGGATAGGTTACTCCCCCAAAGCTGCCCTGACCAATCTCCTGTGAGGTTGTAAACCACCGGAGGAGAATGCTTTATTAATCTCTCTCTGTCTTTTTAGCATCAGTGAGATGCTTGGGGGCCAGTGGGTGCTGCTTCCATCTTCAGTCATTGAGGACCAACTTTGGGTCTCAACCCCGAGTGCTCATGAGAATTAAAAATCCTGATTCCCTGGTACGAGTGATGCTGCTCAGGAAAAAGGAAATGCTTAAAAAATAGAAATAATAGTATCAACATTCAAAATTTTTCCAGTGCATTCTTACAGAATAAAAGTGTCAAATTGAGACACTTTTTTTTCCTAAGGAAAGAAAGGATAACAAAATATTTGCTTTTAAAAATCCAGTTTCCAGGATATATACCAGAAAGAGTCTCTGGGGGTGAGGCCTAGGCATCAGCAAACTTTTAGGCTTCCTGAGTGGCTGCAATTTGCAGTGTGACTGCCACTGATGGGCGCTGCTGGACAGGAGGCAGGACTGTGGCACCAACCTGTTTTCTGATTTCTAACCTGATCCTCTACACTCAAAGCACCCGAGACTGGACTGGTCTCAGTTCTTACCTCGCTTTCCAGCACCACCCTCGGCATAACAGTAGAAGGAGTCTGCACGCTGGGAGGCCCTGCCCACATAATGGCAGCCTGTGTCCTGCATTCCTGCACTGGACAGTGGGCAGACCAGCTTCTTAACAGAGGACATGGCAGTGGCCAGAGACTTGCATCTGCTGGATCCAGGGAGCAGCTGTGACTTGGCTTCAAGCAGCCCCAGGACGCAGGATGTTCACAGGGGCTGGGGGAGGGGGGTGTCACCTTCACCGGTGGAGGTTCAGAGCAGGCCGGTGGGATTGCCTTTGGGGTGTCCAACCCTATATTTTGGGGGGAGCATCCCTGCAAGGCTACCCCGAGAGGTAGCCTTCACTAGAGCCACTTCACTTGAGCAGTTCTACCCTGTGGGCCACCTCGTGACAATGTGTTAGCAGCGGCTGTAAGCGGGGGGATTAAAACCCCCCATGTCGCTGCAGGAGGGGGCACGCTGCCTCCTCCTGCCAGTTTTTAGGCAAGTGTTGCTTTTCGAGCATCAACCTCGCTGACTTTGATTGGGAGAATAAATTAATTCCAAGGCCCGACTTGAAATTTCCTGACTCTGCCTGTCTATTGTCTATCCACCCACACAAGCGAGAACCTGCTACCTTGTCAATTCCAAGCCAGCAGCCTGCACGGTGAGTCCTTCTAGGGGAGTCTTTCAAAAGAACCCAGAGGCTTCACAATCTTCCTTTCCTTCCTTAGGTACTTGTGTATTTGGTCACTTTAACGCTGAGCTCTGTTCATTCTCTCTCTCCTGAGCTGAAGAAACCTGATTTTGTGGGCCATTTGGGGCTGATAACAAATTATCAAATTATTTTAAAATTCCTAGTAGAATTTTATTTTATTTATTTTTTTTTTAAAGTTTTCTTTTTTTTATTGATTTATTTTATTTATTTATACAAGCACTGGGTACAGTCAGAAGCGCGGGAGGGTGAGAGAATTCACCAGAACCAGAGCGGGGAACAGAACAGGCAGACTGATGAAATGCACTGCTGAGGGGAGCAGCGGGCGGCAGGAGAGGTCTGCGCGCCATGTGGGACCCTCGCCGGTGGCCGGGGATCGAACCGGCGCTGCAGAGGCTGCGGGCAGCTTTGCAGCCCAGCGCTCAACCGCTGCGCCACCAGGGGAGGCCCCCTAGTAGAATTTTAAAAGGATTCATTCACAATGTTTCTTCACAACCCCTAAGCTGTCATATCTTATTTTTATATTGAATCTGTATTTTTGTGGAACTAAAAATGCTCCCAAGACTTGGGCTCATGTTGTAAGGAGAACAGCCTTAAAGGATGCACATGCGGTATCTGCATCTTGCGTGTGAGGCTAGCACGAAGCAGAGACACAGCAGCTCCATCCTGGCCACCCAGTAAATGTGCAGTGCTGTTGCGAGCACCCTGGCTGGGGGCATCTTCATTTCTAGATAACCCAACCTGCTCTTTGCAATTCATTATCACACCACCTTCTCCCCTGCTGAGTCAGAGTCCACTTTGTAATTAAGCATCTGCTGGATGACAGAGGTCTTAAGGGTTTTGAAACTACGTTATCACTTTTATGAGCATTTCAACATTTAACTGTTTTTCAGAATCCTGAAAATATTCTCTCCCTTCTTTCTTTTCTCTCATGGACACACTGTTACACTAGATTGTGTTTGTGTGATAGAAAAGCAAGAAAATGACTCTTAGGGTCTTGGGGAAGCCTGGAGAAGTTGTTTCTGGCAGTGGAGGTGCAGCTGTCTGTCTTCTCTCCCCTTGGTAGAAACTTCCATTTGGAATAAACCTCTCTAGGAATCCTACATGTATCTGGGTCTGAAGAAATCACAGCTGAAATTCAAGTTATCTTCACAGCCAATATGTCAAGGTTAAGTGTAAGGAGTGTCACTTAACGTGTCTTCTAAACATTCAGGGGGCTGTGTGAGCAAGGCCTATATGTTTAAAGGCTCTGACTTCTGAGGATCTGCTCATTCACTCTCCAAGTGCCCTCAAGCCATTTGAGTGACTGGCGATGAACAAGCCACATTCAGAGACTTGCTGGTAGGAAGGGCACCTGCATTCTCTGGCCACTGGGCTGTGCCATCATCTATGGTGTCTGGGGTAACAGCTACTATGGTTATCACCACTGTGAAACTAGAAAGAACAGAAACATGCCTCTCCCATAAAGTTTCTCACCCTGCAGGGTAGAGCCACTTTCTTTATTCTCCTGGTTTAAAATATCAGTTAGTTGCTCATTATTAACTAGCTTTGTTTTATAATCACACCAGGGAGTCAACTGAGATTTACCCATATTTATATTTACATTGGTTTTACCTCAAAAAACCTTCCTGAACAAACACATGAAGAATTTCACCTCAATCTGGAAAGGCAGAATACATTGGTTAATGTGCTTTATGCAAATCATTTCTTACAGGGAATCCTCTTGGTGGGAAAGGTCAATATTTACCAGCACGTCAAGATAAATATAATGCTGATCTGATTGCAAAATCCTGTTTTTTACACACACACATAAACACACATAGACACACACACCCTCCAAAACAGGTCCTATGGCTTTTGGGGTGAGTGCAACACAGTGATTACAAGTTCAGCTGTAGAATGAACTAGATCTGGGTCAAGCCTTGTCTCTGGCTGTGGCAGTGCAAGAATTACTTAACCCCCCTGCACAAGTTTTCCTCTTGTGTTAAAAATGCCTATTACTTAAGGAACCAGTGCTTTGCAAACACCAAAAGGCACACAGCAACTGGGAATCTTGGGGAAATGCAGATTTTGATTGAGAAGGTCAGTCCCCCCTGGGGACTCCATGTTCCCAGGGGAAACTAAGCTGCTAGTCCATGGGCCAAACATTGAGCAGCAAGGCACAGACTCAACACTTTACAAAAAGGCAACAAAATCACTATTCAGGATCTTGCAAACTTACTGAGAGAAGAAAGCTGAGAAAGGATTATCTTTGGTGACCAAGGCGAACACTGCACAAACTCAGTTCCTCCAGGCATGGACAGAATTAAGAGCTCAAGGCCTAGTTTTATTTTATTACTTTACGAGCCTCTGCCTGAGAAGTTGCTACATCTAAATTCCATTCTCTGCCAAGGACTGGCCAGGGACCATCAGGACCCATGGAGAGAAGATAAAAGCAGAGCCCACCAGAAGTTTCTACCTGTCATAGTCTTGGCAAATCTCCCCCACAGCCACCAAGGCCTTCAGGTACTCGTTGGGTTGGTAGGGATGGATGTAATGCAGGGAGCAGCTGTTCCTGGGGTCTCCGTTGGAGGCAGTGAAATCTATAGCTACCTGGAAGAGAAAATAAGATTTCAGGCAAATGAATCTAATAGGAATCGTGATATGTCACCAGAAGAACAAGGTCTGAGATGGAAAGAGCTGCTTGTTTCCTACCCTGCCGAAAATTAGAGAAGAGATGAATGAGCTTTAATGCCAGTTATTAACTTAGTCGAGGCAATTTCTGTCATCTTCAATCTCCCTCTCCCCCAATGCTCTCCCTTCCTCTGTCCGAAACAGAACATGAGATTGACCTGTGGGTCAGAAAGTCCTGTTGATGCAATCACCAGCAGCAAGCAAAGGGTCCAGCATCTGTGCTCCTAACCCTCCACCCCGACCCAGTATCCTAATTCACTGAGATAAGGCTCCCATGCTCTCCAGACAGGCTAATTCCGTCCTGACAAAGCCACAGGTAGACTTTCTGAAAACGAAATTCTGTATAAGTGATGCAGTCCATGTAAGAGCGCCGTTGCCATATTTTCATGAGTGGCAAATTGCAGTTATGTTGTTGAAGTGCTTATAATACATTTTTTTCAGCTCAGTGTAAGGCATTCAGTGCTTGGTTCCTGCTCTGGTCAGGACCTCCTGTAACAGAGAAGATGCCTTGAATGCCTGGGCCCGTGCGAGGGAAGCAGAGAAGGCAAACCTCTGTCTTATACCAAAGCTGTCATTATTCTTGAACTCTAATTTTCTTTTTGAGTTCCCCCACCCTGGCAATGATCATTGTCTAAATGAAAGTTGACTCACTCAACAATGGACAACAATCACATACCTAACCTGGGGTGTGCGGGGGGGTGTCTACAAATGGGAAAGAAATTACTTCTGATTTCCAACAACATTTTTATTTAAATAAATGGTAACCCAGCAAACACTCTCCAAATATCCTTAAATTTAGTGGGGGGAGGGGGAGGGATTAAAATGAAAGCAGTTATATGGGGAAAGGAGATGTTCATATTGCATCTTCTTTTTCTTTGGGGTCTAACAGAATCCACTCATTAACGATAGAAAGTCTATTTTTTTCTTATGACCTCATGGTTGGGATGTGTTATTTTATAATATTGGCAAAATTTCATTATAACATATAAGAGGGATATCCCATTGGATTAAGTTGGGAAATTCTGGAAAAACAGAGAAGAGGTATCATGTGCTCTCTTGGTGCCTCTGAAGTCCAGCAATAAAGTTGATGGGAAAAAAGGTTACCCCTGTGCAGTATAACCCTCACAGAGACAAAGCAAGCAGAAGAGCAAAAGGAACAGGCTAACAGTCATTTATTGACAACCCCTCCTTTTCTTTTTCTTTCTTGAGAATGAAGGCTCCTTATATTTTGCATCCCGCCAGCCTTTCTTGCCTTACCCTCGTCCTGGCCCAACCAAGTCATTTTGTTTCTAGCAACTCTTCCCCCTCAGGCTAGGGATGATTCTTTACACTTAACAGTCTCGGGTAGGGTAGTGCTGGTGGTGAGAAGGGGATGGTGGCTGAAGATGTCAAGAGAACAGGAAAGGAACAGGACTTGGTCACATACTGGATATGGAGTTGGCTGCCATTAGGGAAAGGTTGTGGCCGAATCTCTTCAGGGATGGAGGAGATCATATCTGAGGAAGGAACAAGGTGAGGACCAGAGTGATAAGGCTGGTGTGGAGCAGACACGTCTTGGTGGGCAATTGGCTTTTCCCCCCAGACAAGCTCTGTGTCTGTATCTTCCTTTCCCAATGGGGTGGCCCTATTCCAGGCCAGGAGATACTGATGCAGCTTTGGGGAGTTCATACTTAAACTTTATTTACCTAGTGCAAAAGGAAATGACCGTGACTAATGACCTTCACCACTGATCCCTTTCTATGGTCTCCGTGGCCGAAAACAAAAACGTATTTTATTATGGGACGAGACGCAATGGGCAGTCTTAAGGACATGGTAGCTAAAGTTTTTTTTTTTTTTTTCTGCTAAATGATGGTTCCTAAAGTCTCCCCGATGTAGCCGGAGATAAAAGGTCTATCTTCAGGAGGTGGCCTTCTACCAAGATTTCTCTGTGCTCTTTAATGTTAGCATTAGTGGAAAGAGAGCAGAGCGAAAGGTTAGGTTTATTTTAAAAAGCAACAGGGAGGCAGTGAAAGATGGAATTAAGTTGAGAAATAAAAGCAAGAAAATGACTGAAAAATGCCAGTTTGTGGAGGTGGCTGCTGGCGCCTGCTTTTCTGGAAGCCTGCGAGCTCCCTGAGCTGTAAGTTTTCATTTTCTAAAGCGAAGCATTTAGGACAGCCTGTGGCCTGGGCAGGTGCTCCAATCTCCTCAGCGCGCAGCCTGGGAACAGGCCCCCACCGCCGGCCCTCCCCTTCTGCCCAGGAGACCCCTCTCTCATCATTAAGCAGAGCTGGGGAGCAGCTTTACAAAGCCTTATAAAGTAAGGATGCAAAATGCTTCCTGCTGCCACCACATCCCCAGAACTGGGAGCTGTTGCTGGAAAAAGGCTGGAAGCAAACGTTGAGCCTTCTTCTTTGGACATTTTAAGCTTTTCACATGAAATGAACCCAGTCTTTAGAACCCTGATCTGCCTGTGACAAATGGGCCATTTGGGAACCTCAAGGATGTCTTCTCAGGGAATCTGCTGAGAACTGTCCTCAGCTGCTATTTGCCTATTCTCTCTGCCGTCAACCTGCCAGCAATCCTTGGGCTGCATCTGCTGGGGCAGCTTGCTTGCTCGATTTATTTTATTTTATTTTATTTATTTTTTTTAAATAATAAATTTTATTTTTATATTCCCCATACATTTGCAACCCCCCCATTCTGGCCCCAATCCCTCCCCTCCCGCCACCCACTCCCCAAAAACTGTCTCTGGTTCATAGTTTTTTGTTGATTTTGATTTTCACTTTCTTATAGTTATTCATTTTCCTGGTCCCTTATTTAAGTTTTCTAGATTCCTGCTATGAGTGAGATCATCCGGTATTTTTCTTTTTCTTTCTGCCTTATTTCGCTGTTGCTCGATTTATTTTAGATTTGCATACAATTGGGCTTAAACAATGAGTCCTGTAAGTGGAGATACTACCCAGGCCAGACTAAATGGTACGTTCAGTTCTTGGGCTTTTTGATTTCCTCAAAACTCCCTAGGGGCAAAGAATCAGGAACCCACACTTTGGGGGAAAGACAACTGAGGTCACCTGGTTCATTTCCTGGAAACTGCAAGGCATTCCCCTTTTCTACCCGGAGCTCATTCTTATTTCTCAGAGGTGTATACCAGAGTCCATCAGTGTTTAATTTGGGATGTAAAATTAAAATTTGAAAGGTAAATTGGAACACAGCAGGGACACAGGGTGTACTGAATATGTTTGGGTCAGAAAAGATTTCCTGAGAGAATTTTATTTTATTTTATTTTTTTTAATTAATAAATTTTATTTTTATATTCCCCATACAATTGCAATCCCCCCATTCTGACCCCAATCCCTTGATTTTTGTTTTAGGCTTGAAGGTTAACTGGGAGAACTCACGTTTGTTTTATTATATCATATTATTAAAGTGCAGACTATAAAATCAGAGATAAAGGAAAGCAATACTATCTTTTTAAAAATCACAAATAATAAAAATAATCATCTGAAATTAAAAAAGACCACCTAGGATTCCACTAGCTTAGTAAGTCATATTTTTGTCTTCTTTCTAATATTGTATATATATTTTTTCATTGAATATAATGCCATAAACATGTCTCCATGTTTTCACCAATTATAATTATCACTGAAAGTGGCTTTATCGTAGTCTACTTAAACGAGGCACTCTGATCGACATAGCCATTCTTTTACGATTAGACATTTAAGTTGCTTACAACTTGTTTCTGTGAAAATCCATTTTGCAGTGAACTTTTTTGTGCATCTGGAAAAGGAACAACTCTCAAAGGAAACGCTTAAATTTTCCACCATTTTCTTCCCAAATACCTTACAGTGTCGGTGTCTCCTATGCTGTCTATAATTTTGCTTTTGTGTGTGAAATGCTAGTATCTACTTTGATTTTTAGCTGCTGCGCCTTGTGCCAAACAAAATGAACTCGCTCTCTTTCCCTGTCATCTCTGGTTCACCTGTACCCACCTCCTCCTGGACTGAGAGGGGACACCTGCTCTGGTGCTCTCATGCCCTGGGGAGTCACGTGAGAAGGACTGTGCTCGGGGGTGCCCTCGACCTCCTGCAACTGTGTGCAGAGCTGGGTGTGTGCACTTGCGTGAGAGGATACAGATCTCATGCGTCAGAGTCTCACAGTGGTCCATCTGACCAGAAAAGAACAAGAATCACTGACGAAAGGATTTTTCCTTTTCAAGCATCTTTTATCTCTCTCCCCCAGCCGCCCCCACTGGATCTTCTCTTGTGCTTATGGTCAGATTCTAATCTAAAACCTCTCCTATTTTAATTCCCAAATTGCCATCCTCCATCCTCCGCCCCTCTTGCTTTCCCTGCATTGTCCACCTTCTTGAATGAATAGTGTTACCCGCTGAGTTCACATCCTTGCCTTTTGCTTCCACACGAGCTCCTGGGTCTGCCCATCTCCATCTGCAGAAATGACTCTTCTGAGGCTGACAGATGCTACTCATCACCTAACCTCATCATGCTCTTTAATCTCCTCCTCCTGACTTCTCTTTAGCCTACGGCCTCTGCCCTTATCTTGCAAACTTTTCCTTCTGATTTTTGGAGTTACCACCTCCTCTCAACTACCCCCCTCCCCCATCTCTTCTCTTACTGCTCACCTTCCTTTCCCTGCTGTTAAAGGGAGCCCTTCTATAGTTTTCTGTCGCAGACTCCCCTTGCTGTTCTCCTGTCTTTGGGCATCTCCCCCAGGCCCAAATGCAAGCTTCCACTTCTCTCCTGACACCTTGGTCCATATTTAGAAGTACAGCCACTACTGGAATCCCTGAAAGTCTCTCTAACATCCCAAAAGCAAGTTCATCATCCAGTCCAGCACGGACTCTTGCTATTTGGCATCCGTATTCCCCAGAACTGGAGGACTGCCACATTCTGCCAGTCAGGCACCGAAGATCTGAGCTCCCCTGGACTCGTCATTGTGCTTGTTTTTGCTTTCTCCCTGCACTGCAGTGAGTTATAGACTCTCTTTCCTGTGCCCCTGCCCACTGCTCTCCCTCCAGCTGGGCCCCTTATTGCTCACCAGGCCTGTCGCGAGGGCCTTCGTCTCTTCTTACTCTACTTTGCAGATGCCCATCACCACCACCAGTGCCTGTCCTCACACATGCCCAGGTTTTCTTCCCTGGAGCCTATCCCTGATGGCTTCACTGCTGGCTCAAGAGTCTTCTCAGCCTTCCCTTGCCTACCAAATTACCCAAAAATTCAAAGCCCTTCAAGTTCTTAATCCAAACCATTTCCCCAACATTCCCCTAAACACACCCTGCCTATTCATATTAACCCATGTAAGGCTTCAGTATTTACTATTAGGCTATATGGACAGGTAAGCATTTCAGCTCATGGGCTTGCTTATTAAAGCAAAAAATCTACTATTCTATTTATTCATTAATTTCCTCTTTCTCTGAAACCTGGCTTCCCCTTGTAGGTATAGGGTTTAATCATTACAGTTCAATAAAAGTATTCTGAGCGCCTAATAGCACTAGCAGCCTGGCACCTGCAGGGGAAGAGACACCACTTTTGACATTCTTAAGGCTGAATGAGAAACTCCAGGCATCGGCAGAGGGCGCAGAGCTTTCTCCTGGCCCCTGTTTATAGAGTGCCCTGGTGAGCCTCTGACACAAACAATGGCCCACTCAGAAGGATGATGGAAGAGTTTTTAATAAAAGGACAACTCAACAACATTCAGGGAAAGTGTCCAGAAAGGACAGGGAGGAGCAGTTATGGGAACTTAGTAGTAAGAGCAGCATTAGCAGGACGGGACCAGCAGGCACTGCGTCCCTCGGTAGTGGAACATGGCACTGTCATACCATGGCCTGCAGACAGAAAGCTGGGGTATAAGGTGCCCCCATTTCTCTCTCCCCCCATTCTTTGATCTCTGGTTGGTGCCTCCTGTTGGTCAAGCCCAATCAAAAGCCATGACAGGAGAGCCTGGCTTGAGCTGCCGAAGAGGTCGCGCCCCTGCAGCACAGAGGGTGGAGAAAGGCGAAGAGTGGCAGAAACTGCCAGACATTTATTTCACCACTGGCTCCCAAGGTCTGTCTCCTGGGAGGCAGAAAGACCATCCTGGCTAAGGCTTTGGGCTTGCTCAGGAGCCATGGGTCATGCCACATGTCAGGAGCTTTTGCCTCTGGAGGGCTCTGAGCTGAAATTACTGCAACAAAACCTGTATTTCTCTGCTTTGCCTATCTCCATGTCAGGAAGTGCTCGTTTCTTCACTTCTTATCTCTCTGTCACTTTCCTTTCATGCTGCCAGATGGTTTCAAAAAAATTTACTGGGCAGATATAAACACAGATTAAATCAAGTAACACATGTTAATTGTTACTAATAGTTTACATTACAGCTTATATTTTACATTAGATTGCACTGGTTGAGCAACCAGAAATTTCTAATGGGAAAGCTAACTTAATTTTCAAGGAAAATGACATTGATGTGACTGGTATGTTTTATTTGATAGAAACTCCAAAGAGGACACCCAGCAACCTCCTTGAGGCCCCAGCTGAAGCCCAGCAGGAGGAAGGGCTGGGTGGCAGCCTCGATGATGGTCTGCTTCTCCTGGGCATTGTTTGACATCTCCCTCCTCTTGTCACCCCTTGCTCCACACTGCTCTTCCCCTTGGACCCCCCACCCCACCCCCGCCACCCCACAAGCGCCCAAATCCATCACCTGACACTGGAGGGACTGAAAAGCTGGGGCTGGGGAGGTGGTGGTAAGATTCACTGCTGTGGTACCCGCCCTGTCAGGGAGGGACAGAGAAATGAGAAAGAGGAGAACATACTCAAGAGAACAGCCTGCATCCGCTAGGCCACACAGACCTCTCTGGGTCAGGACAAGGAGCCAGGAGTCCTATGGGGTTAAAGTGCTGGTTTTTATAGGGACTGATTCTCTGCAGAACAGCTCCAAGGGCACAGCAGCCCCTGAAGGGTGACTGAAGAGTTGCTCAAGAGCATGGGATCTATAGACTCTGAAACAGACCCAAATCAATAGCCTTCCCTTGGAAACCTATAAATAGTTTCCTGAAACCACGCCTCTGCCTAAGATCCAGGGACACTCTTTGCAGTAGTTCCCCTGTGTGACATTGCTCATCATCTGCACACACCCAGAGTGACCCTGGGCCCACAGGACAACCAGAGTTGGGCGTGTGTGTGTCCAAAACCAACGTGTCAGCTGCCTCTGTATGTGCTGGTATGTAGGAGGGCTGGTGGGTGTGTCTTTAGAGAAACTTACACTCTACAGAAATGGCTGAATTCTATAATTCATTTAACTATTGAAGGGTAAGTGAACAATGCCCTGAGTTTGGGCAGGACATAGGTAGATCCCTCTAAGATGGGAGCAGAGGACAGCTAGCCAGGGAGAGGCTGGCCTATTAAATCCCTTTATCTCTCCTCACAAGTTCTTTGAGTGCCCCTGTCCCCCACACCAGGATGGCATTGCTCATGTCTTCTCTACTGGGCTCAAAACCACATGAAACCAGTAAATAAGCCCATTTTTCTTGCTTTCTGTGCATGACTGTGTCAGTCTAGGGAGCTAAACGTGAACGTCGCGACACACTCCTGTAGGATGAGGAAAAAACACTGCACAGGTTTCTTTTACTTTCTATTCATATTGCTTTCCCATAGTTTTTAGCTGATTGCTCTCTTGTCCTCTGGGTTATCTTTTTCTACAGGGGACATCTGCCCTCCTACACATCAAAGCTAGGAAGATTTTGAGTATCAAACCACTAAAAGAAAGCTATTGCAGGGCAGATCGACAACTTGGGGCTACCTGGCACTTTAAAAAGACCCAGGGGTCCTTCCTGGTGGCACAAGGGGTTAAGACGCAACCTATGAAGCTGTCCGCAGCCACTGCAGCATGAGTTCAATCCCCGGCCAGGGAGCTAACCCACATGGCGCAGCAGGCCTCTCCCACTCATCTGCTGCTCCCCTCAGCAGTGTATTTCGTTAATCTGCCTGTTCTGTTCCCCACTCTGTCTTTGGTGAAACCTCTCACCACCCCCCCACACCTCTGGACTGTACCCCAGTTCTTGTATGCATATATAAATAAATCTTAAGAAAAAAACCCAGAACACCCACTCAAATACACACTCAGATCATGTCAATTCTGCAGGCTCACAGATAACATGTAGGAGAGGATCTTCAATCCAGCCACGGAATCTAAACACTAAGTCTTATTTCTCCACCTTGGTTTCTACCTGCTTCTCCAGTCTTGGAATTCACCTTCCCTACTGCCTTGTTGACCATTTGGGTGGCTTGCTCTTGGCACTGACATTAGCATTTGTTTGGCCCCATGAACACGTGACATATGCCGTGGCTCAGTGGAGCTTCCTAATATGGTTCATTCCTTCCTGTCCTTACCAGGTGATGGTATCTGGCAACCTGCCCACTGCCCTGTGCCTCATGTAGTTTACAGAAAGAATGGGAAGCCTTAGGATGGTTCCCCAAATTACCCGAGGTTGAGTGGCACAGATTTCCTGACACGATGCAGAAAACCACACTCCCTGGAGAAAACAGAAGTATGGATTCATCTTTAAAACATGAGACTGTACAACTGTGGCAGCAAGGAGACTTAAGTAGTGATCCAGGGCTTTAATAGAATTTTGTCTTCTCATGTCCCAAGCCCAGCACCAGTCCCCAAACCTTTCTCCCTGATAAGAACAAATGTGGATGTAACTTACTGTAAATTGGATCTGGCAGCCACCCATGATGTAATCCAGGAACGAATGCATCTTGTGGATCTGCACAGAACAGAGAGGAAACGGTGTTAGTAACAGTGTGATCTGTCTCCCAGACTGGAGGCCCAGATTCAGTGTTTGGCTTCCAAGACAGAGGACAGAAAATCTGTAGGGAAAAAAATGGGTCAGTTGATTTTATTCTGTGAATGGACAAAAAGCAAGAAATTCTCAGTTCACATGGGCCTGTGAAGTACAACACCCTGTGGCAAACACCCTCTGTTCCCCTCTCTTTTGGTTTATTCACAGCTTAATCAGCTTCTGCCTCTGGGGTGAGTCCAACACTCTACTTTCTCTACTTTCAAGGATCATCACTGTTTTGAAATCAATAAGGTCTCACACTTGGCCTTGGTCTTGGTCTTGTTCCCAGGTCTGAATTTCAGTTCTGGTAGCACTCTTCCTGCCACAAATAATCTAAAAACTATCACCACAAACTAACTGCCACAAACTATCACCTTGGCAGCTGCAAGGTGATAGTGACCTGAGAAGGCCTTTACTGACAGTTCCCAGTTAGTCAGGTGCCTCCTCTGCCATGAACAATAATGGCTGACATCAACTGAGCGCCTATTGTATGCTGAGCACTTAGCATCTGCTACCCCATTTAATTTTTAGGACAACCCTAACAAAAGTTGTACTATTATTAGCATAGCACCCATTTTATGGATGGGGAAATTGAAGCTCAGGTCACCGACCTAGTAGATGGTGGAGGTGTGTACCGATGAGGGCAGTTTGGATTGCAGAGTTGTCCTTTTCTGTGCTAACGGTCAGGCTGACCCCTGCTTTCTGTCCATCCACCACCGTCTGTGTTCTCATGTGCCTAACTGATGTCTGGTCTTATTTTCTGCCTCTTTATGATTCTGTTGTGTGGCTCGTGGTGGCACTCATCTATATATTTATTCAGTGAAGATTTATCGAGCCCTGCTGTGCTCCAGATGCAGGGGTATCATGATGAGAAAAACAGACATGGAGCCTGCAGTCATGGAACTTACAAGCTGATCCCCTTTGCCTGGAAATCAGCAATTGTGATATTTGGCCCTCAGGTCTCAGACTTGACCTGACGTTCAGGGAAATTTCTAGGAGGCTGACCCAGAAACCCCCATGTTGGTGTGTCTGGGGTACCACCTCCTGGAGGCACACACCTATTGGCAGACTTAGCCTGGCACTCAGGTCCACTGGGCCCTCTGAAGAGTGTCTGATCCTGGCTTGCCTCGTAGCTGGGATACCCTACCATTGTCTGCAAATCAAGGAAATAAGAGCTAGGAAGTGAGTTCAGGAACAATGGCCTCTGAGTGCCAAGGGATCAACTCATGGAAGATCAGAACAGATCTACTCACAATCACAGGGAGATTGAAAACCACTGAATGGATTGATCTAGATCTTCTTTTCCTGTGTCTAGGAATTAGCTAATCCTGGGGGGCAGTCCCTTCCTAGGTCCCCAAGAAGTCAAAGCACCATCAAATATAGAAAATAAAAGATAGGATAAAACATTGATCCCAGATTAATCATTAATTGGCTCAAGGGGTGGGAATGTGATCCAAGCCAGGCCAATCTTTTCCTTCACTCTTTTGTTATGTGAAGATATGCTCCTGGCAGCCAGGGGAGGCCAATCTCGGGAAGGAGCCTGATATAGTGAAGTGAAAAGGGATGGCACTTAAGTCATACATTCTGGAGTTAGACAGACATAGGGTTAAGATCTCAGCTCTTAAATGTACCATTTGGGTGACTCTGAGCTAGTTACATGATCTCGCTTAGAAATCTCAGGATTGCAATAAGTGTTAGAATTTTTATAGTTACTTTCATATAGTAAGTACTCAACCAGTTACAGAATTATTCTCCGATATTACTTAAGAGGTTTCACTATCAGCACATAGGATTTTTTTAAAAATTGGAAATTTCTGAAAAGTCATTCTGGAAGAAATTTCTAGGTCCTTTAATCATGACATAAAGTCTTATTTTCATGATATCCTTTCAACATGGGTAAGGGGTCAGATATCAAACACTGAAAAACACATAGTAGGTGCTTTAGAAATGCTGGATGTGCCTCTGGGGCTCTCCCTCTGATGCTGTCCTAGGCAGAGAAGAGCCTGACTTGTGACCGCCTAGGTCTCTCTTATCATTGGGGGTTGGCCTTTCCCTGAGGGCATGGACCTTAGGACAATATCAATGACCAGATCTCCCACACTTACATTTTGATATTGACCTTGTGATTTTCATTTTAGAAAAGATAAGACCTCTTTGACACTCCCTTTCCTGACCACACAGCCTGAACTCTTCCTCCCAGACATTCCTAGTTTCATGTTTCTGAAACTTGGCTACGTACATACCTTGCACAGATTCAAAATCACAGTGCCCGAGTTCTTATAATTCTTCTTCTTGGCTTTGTACTTGGGGTTGATGCACTCCCACTGGACCTGCAACAGGGAGAGTCACAGCGTGAGAGGCTGCTCAAGCACAACTGTAGATGCCGATGGCCAAGCCCCAGGTGCTACTGCAGATGGACATGAGGCTGCACGATGGTCTCTAGGTGACGGCCCTTGCATGGAGGGGGACAGTGATGTTGCCAGTGGAGAGCAAGGCTGGTATCATACGGTCGGGTTTGAATCCCAGTTCTTTTGCTTTCCAGCTGTGGACCTTTGGCAAGTTACTTTGTTCCTTTATTCTTTGGATATTTCTTCTATAAAATGGAGCTTACGATGACATTTATTTCATGGGATTATTCTGAGGATTGAATAATAAATCTATGTAATACATTCAGAACATGAATGTTTACTAGTCATGGGGTCAAATCAAGCAGCAGAGGGAAGGAGAGATCTGCAGACACAGTTGTATACATTGAGCAAATGGGTTAATTCAGATTAAGCTTTTAATTCTCAAGAATGAGAGTTTACTACTTCTCAAGAATTGTTAGTTTATTTCTACACAATTTAGTTAAGACCTGACATCTGAAGGAAGAGATTTGAAAACTGAACAAGATAGTGCTTCTGGCCAGGCCAGGCACAGGTCTCTAAGGAAAATGGTCTTTGTCAAAGCCACTGAACACTCTGCTGTCCCTACTTTCTGCCCCCTGGGGACAGTGGGCCCCTAGGAAAGAGTAGCTGGCACCTGGTTTGAGGTTCTCCAGAAGATGAAGGAAATGTCTGAAGAGAAGTGGTTCATCTGGGAGGAAACCAGGAATCACCAATAAAAGAGTAGCACATTGAGATGGGGGGGACCCTCAAAGGGGTGCATTACCAAGTGGTTACCACTGTGGGCAAGCAAGGCATATTTCTGCGGGAGCTCTGAGAAACCACAGAGCACACTTAGAGTTTGCTACCTGGAGGGCAAGACAGCTGGGTTGGCCACCTCCCATCTCCCACTAGCTCTTCCCTGAGGGCTCCCCCTGGGGAGGTGCTCCATCTGCCCTCATGCCCTCAGCCTGCTGTGAGCTTCAGAACAGCAGAGGAAACCTTGGGGAAGAGTCCAATTCTGTAGCTGAATGTTGAGCAGGTAAAACTAGAAGTTACATGAGTAGGAGAATCCAGACAGCAGGACTGACTGATCTATAACTATGTGAAGGTACGTGTGTCTGGAAGAAACACAGAGGAGCCTTAGATTTTGGTAGGAAGCAGCAAATTCCCAATGTGCTCCATGGTTTGTGGAAGTGTTTAGGCACATGTGCTGGCAGCAGGTGTGTAAGAGTGAAATGATGGCACCAGATGAAAACGTGGGACCCATAATGAAAATTTGGAGACATCAACTAACTTCTCCAAAGCACTGCATGTGTCATTAATGTCACTGTGTGGTGGAAATGTAGGTCTGGAAAATTCTACTACTCATAGCAGATATTTTGGGAGTGCTAGCTATGTGCTAGGCCCTCTGCTAAAGACAGTTGTTGATAGATAATTTATCTCCACAAGATTCTAGGTGGATTGCTTTCACATTCATTGCTTTTAGGAGAGAAAATGGAGGCACACAGAGATCTTAAGGCTACAGTTAAAGGGAATTCGAAACATTCTTACCTAACCTCTCCACTTTGCTGATGGCTAATTCGCACATGGGGTGGTGTCTTGTTCAGGGTGACCCCAATTGCTTTGGGTTGGGCTAGTCTGAGGATCTAGGCTTTCCAATCCCACCACCCTCCCTGTGGTCACACATAATCATTATTGATGCCTTTCTCTAGACTGGGTGGAGCTGGGTGCCAAGGAGACCTGATGAAAGGGGGTATGGGGGAATCACGAGCCATAAACCACATACCTGTTTCCCTTCCAGGGCACCTCTCATCTCCTTGAATGTCGAGGTGAATTCTCCAATGAAGTCATGTTTGCCGTTGGAGTCCCAGTCCCATACTATGCACTGCAAGAGAAAGGAAGTGTCTATTTTTCCTTCAGATTCAGAATCACAGCAGCTGACGGCAGCATGAACTTCATGAGGAAGAGCTGATGAAAAGTGTTTGGTCTGGAAAGTCTAGTGCATAGGGTTGCAGCTTATGGGTCGACTCCAGCACTTCTCTCTGTTCCCACCACCCCTTCTCACCTGCTTCTCTGTAATGGTCTTTTAGGCTTCACCACCCCCTTCCCCCTATTCACAAAGATTAATGTTCATTTTCTGCTTAAAATCAAATTATCTATAGGTACCAGGTCTTCCAAGGTCTGTCAATATCAGAGTCCCCCAGTATTCTCAGATTCACCCTTTGCAATCCATGCCTGTGGCATGCTTAGAGGTTCTCTGTTGTGTGGTTGGTGGGAATGAAAAGCACTTGTTAAGATTTTTTTTTGAGGCATCTTAAAGGTGACTTCTCCGCTGTGCTCTTTTTAAATATGCAAGCTTCAGCAGATAATCCTTTGCTTGGAAAACATATCAGTAAGCTCTGTGGTTATGAAGGAGAATGTATTAGAATAGATCAGAATGGAAGAGGTTAAGACAAAGGAGCTAAACTGCTCTGCTGAATAAAATAATGGTCAAGTAGAGTTTTTCCCTTGTAACCAGAGACACAGAGGTAGGACCCAGGGACCTGCACTGAGAATAAATTAGGGCAGGATTCACCAGAGGCCTGAGGGTGAGCCCAGCCTTGGATGGGAGGAGGGGAGAGACATGTAGGTAGGGAACTTTGGAAACTGGAGGTGTAATTTTCAAGGTCAAATTACTACGAACTTCTCCCCTCCAAGCCCCTTTCCTGCTTTCCCTCTCCTGCGATCCCTGAGATTCCAGTGAGTCTACTATCACAGCAGATGGGGCGATCACTAAGGGGTGGCTTTTAGGGTAAAAGGGAGGGGTTGTTCCAAGTTTTCGGACAAACAAACCAGAGAGTAGTGCAATAAGGCCCACACAAGGATTGGGGATTGCAGAGGGAGGGTGTGGCAGATGAACCCTAGGAGTAGAACCCCACAGATACGCTGGGAGTGGGGTGAACTTCTTCAGTCACATGGAATTAGAATTCAAGTTATTCTGTTTAGATGTTAAAAGAAAGTTTGACTGCAAAAAGTTGGAGAATTACAATTAAAATTCAGTTAATGGCATTACTTAATTTACACTATTCAGTTGTTATCTGTTTTCTTATTTGGTAGGTACTAAACATAAGCTACCAAGATTAGCTGTTACCATCCCGAGGTGAGGAAAATGCTCAGATGTCCCCAGATGAGCCATGATGGACATGTGTCTACAAGGACAACCATTGTTGTTCTTATCCATGGCGTAACTACAGCATAACCTGGTGTGGGAATCACTTAAGTACTTAAGGCACCATCATGGGGAAATTCCAATTTAATGCATGACTCCAAAGAGGAGAAAACAGAGTTTCAAGAGGAAATGACAAAGAAGTAACAGAGAAAGTATCTGCCCCATCATTATACCCACCCATCTAAAAGCAAAATAATCTGCTTAAGTAAGAGCAAGTGCTTTCTTACTGGAAATTTTCAAGTTGAAATTGCATGACTGTGCACAAAAAATATGGTAGAGAAAGTCAAGGACAGACGGTTCCAGAGAACTGGGTGGGAAGTCCTTGGAACTTTCTTGTAACTACTTTCTTCTAGCTTACCAAGATGAGTAGTCGTTGCACAGTTTGCCAAATAAAGTCAATAAAACTCCAGGCCAGGCAATGCCACTTTGGTAAAGTGATGTTCAACGTCATTCATTTCAATGGACAGTGACTCAATCAATGATTTGGTCACTTGGAAAAATTGCTCAGGAGGTGCGGGGTGGATTCACAGTATCCAGGGACCAGCAGTTACTCAGAACCACTTGTTTCTGTTTGCTGGTCCTTCCTACAGGCCCTGACACGCACCACTTGTTATTTGGAGCAGGAAACAGAAGAAAGCTTGCTGGACTGGAAGTAGAAAGAGAAAGAGGGCTCCCCTGATGGCAGAGTGGTTGAGCACTGGCTGTGAAGCTGCCTGCAGCCTCTGCAGCGCCAGTTTGATCCCTGGCTGCCTGCAAGGGTCCCACGTGGCACGCAGACCTCTCCTGTCACATCCGCTTCTCCCCTCAGCAGTGTATTTCGTCAGTCTGCCTGTTCTGCTCCCCGCTCTGGCTCTGGTGAATTCTCTTACCCTCCCGCACTTCTGACTATACCCAGTGCTTGTATCAATCAATAAATAAATCTTTTAAAAAAAAAAAAAAGAGAGAGAGAGAGAAGGGTGATTCTGGGACCCTGTCTTTAAGGCTCAAACTTTGGTGGTCAACACAGCCACAAGACGGCTGAGCTCAACAACTTGGCCTCTACCTTCATAGAAGGTAGCTAGAAGAAAGTTCCAAGGCAAAGGGGCAGAGCAAATGGGAGAAGAGCAGTAGCAGCGGCCTTCTAACACTCCCTGCATCAGAAAAGACAGTCGGGCCTCACTCTCCCTGCCTCCCTAACTGCAGCAGAAAACAGGAAAAGCAAGAGTGTGTCTGACCCTAAGCAAAGGCCACACGGCTCCGTCTTCCCAGAGGTTTTCTGTCACACCTTAGTTAGCTACTATCCCTCCTTATCCCTGTCCAGCACAGCATGCAAGATGTATGCAACATGCTCTCCCTGGGGCAGGAAGGAAGGACACTGAACCCGTGGGCTGGAAGTCGAGGCAGGCTGATGGGCCTGGTCGTGGCCACGGGCAGCCCCGTGCTCACAAAAACCATGTTTCGTCTACCCTCCTGCATTTCTCATTTGGCAAGGGCGTGATTCTATTTTGACCTTTTTCAGAAGGAATCCCAAAGGAAGGCACAGGGAAGCAGAAAAAGAAAACTGCTGTTTCTCCCTCTCTTTGGCCACGAAGCTGACTTGTGACAGCTCAGATGCAGCTGACAGAGGAACGTGTCTTGGAGGAAAGTAAACAGATCAAGTGCCCTGCAGAAAAACAGGCAGAGGCAGGTTTTGGTGTGAATCCTACAGAAGCCTTGACAGATGCATGAGGGATCAGCCTAAGACCATCTACAAAGCCGGAAAGCCATCCTGAGTCCCTGCATGGCACAGGGAGCTGAGGTACAAATGGCAGAGCTCGCCAGCTTGGGCGAGTCAACGCCCTCATTTCACAGAGAAGGGAGGTGACTTCACCCATAACAGGGCTGGAACTAAAATCCAGTTGTCTTTCCTTCTTTGTCTTAACCACTATTTCGCAAACTGCAAGTGCTGATAATTAAACTTAGGCAGCGCGGGCCACGAACCAGAAATGAGCTATGTCCATTTTACAGATGAGGAAACTAAGGAGAAACAAGTAAGTCTCCCAAGACCATGCAGCTAACACTAGGCAATCTTTGAACTAAAGGAAAGTAAGCTTCATAGATTGTGTTAAATGATCAGCTTTTGTGAAACCACGCCACTTGTGTGTTTGGTCTTTACACCTTCACAGCAGCCCTCAAGTGACAATATTATTCCCACCCACAGGTAACTGCCCTTCGCAGGTGTCATTCATGAGCTCAGAGTGGTGAAGCCACTTGACCAGACACCTAGAAAGTGGCAAAATTACAGTTACTTATATATATGGTCTTCTGCAATTCAACAAGAAACCCAACCACAAAGAGATCATGCCAAGTGAAATAAGTCAGGGGAAAGAGAAATACCAGATGGTTTCACTCAGATGTAGAGTAAAAAGAAACAAAGTAAAGGAACAGGCAAAAACTAAACCAAAGTGAACCTTAGAGACATGCCTGCAGAACTGAGGTTACGGCAGGGGCAGCGGGGGTGGGAGGCTGAGATGTCTATGGTGGAGGATTATGGGTACTTCGATGGGTGTGATGTAGTAACATACATTTGAAGAGGTGTGACTCTATACCCCTAAATTATATACAGTGTTGTAAACCAACGTTGACTCAACAGCAAATAATACAATGGAAAATAAAGTCTATTCTGGCTGACATACATATATGCATACAAACATACTAATTACACACATACTACACACAGACATGTATAAAGAAACACCAACACAGGCAGAAGGAGACTTTGAAGAAGCATCCTGGCTCTCTAATTCAATGCAGCACTGTCTTAAGCAGGCAAACAACACTTAGGAGAGTCACATTGCATGATGCCCAGGAGGGAAGGGCAGAGAGTATGTGGGTTTTATCTTGCCAGTTCACCCATCTTCCTGCTGCTGGACCGCAGCCAAACACAGAGACATTCCACAACAAAGTGTATCACTCTTGGAAGCTCTCACTGGAGATTTATGGCATTGGAAGGCTTGGTTAGTTCAGATAAGCTTTAGAGGCTCCCACATGCTTGTCCAAACCCTTTTAACTTCACACCTCACTACTCTTGAGGAAGATTGAAAATTCCCATGGCTGTGTGGGCAGAGGCTTTGACAGTGACTTATGCCTCAAGATTTCAATAAGAGCTCTATCTTCATGATCAAAGTCAGTCCACATTGGTTCAACCCATACCACTCTCTCCCACCAAGTTAACAGATGGATCCGAGACCCTTATATTAGATCAGGGGATGGCAGGATGGTTGGACTCGAGATACTTCCTTGAGTGGATTGCAAGTGTTAACACAATCCCTTCCAAATGCACAGGTATAAAGTAATGTAAGAGTCCAATAGGCTCTTGGGGTACAGTGCACACTATCCTTAACATCTGATGAAGCACTGCCATCCTACCGGGGTTAGGCATTTATAAGGGCCTCCTCTCTCTCTTTAGTCTCGCTGTCTCTTATCTACATCTCTAACTCTGCAAATTTCTTGAGACACATTTATTTTAATGATCGATCTATTCTAGAGCAGGAGGCAGAACAAGTGTCTGTGGATTTTATTTTTCCTACCTGATGGTTTTCTTTCATTCATCATCAAATATGAGTCCTTCTACTGTAACAGGAAATGAGTGAGGTGCAGTACATGAGAGAAACAAATGGAAAAGATAGATGAATTTGGGTAGAGACCCAAATAAAGCT